AAGGGAAGGGAAGGGAAAGGGGAAAGGGGAAAGGGGAAAGGGGAAAGTGGAAAGAAGGAAAATAAAATAAACAGGAAAGTATAGTCTGCAGGAGGACTTTGTCTGAAGAAGCTGGGAGATCTCAGCTACAGATGACATGGCTGATGTGCCCAGCACAGTGACACAACCCCAAAGTAGTGTAGGCAGGAAGGAGCAGCACTGCTGGTACCACAGGGCAGTCCCCAGCACAGGTGAACCATGTTGGTCCAGCAGCAGGCTGACACAGCCATACTGCTTTTAGATTCTGCTTAGTCCATGCTGCTTTCTAGGCTGGCAGTGCTATGCTCTACTCTATATGTAGATATGCAAAAGGCCTCCCTGAGCCATCCATTTAACTCTGAATTATGAATACAAGTTGAAATGGTTGTACAATACCTCATGAAATAAAGGCACATCAAATGTTGGTCTGTCCCCCAGCTCAGCTTATGGATTTAAATACCCTAAATGAGCCAGATGAATAGTGGGTCAGTGCTACTATTGCTGATCAGAAATCCTTGCCTTATTAAAACAGGTACATCTTGGAAAAAAATGTTTCCATTTCAAGGAACAAGTGTATCCTGAGAAAAACATTCCCAAGAAATTTCCCAACTGTATCTCTTCAACAACAGCTGTTCACCAGGCTAGTGTTTCATCATGGTAGTGAGAGATATGAAAGGGTTTTTTAACTGAACAATTGAGGTAGAACATTACCCTACTTTATGTTTTAATAAGGGCAGAAAAACAAAATACTAGGGAAGAATGCTGTGATGAGAGCACCTTGTGAGTTGTGTTAGGAAGAAGTGCCTGCTGAGGGTGTTTTGAGAGTGCAGGAAGTTATCAGATATTGCAGCAGGCAGCAGCTCTTGTTAAGACTGTGGAGTTAGACAGAAATGTTGCTACTAACACCATGCTTTAAAAGACAGCTTAAAATAATACTCAAGATAGTCTTTGTGGCATTTTGAAATCATGGCATTAAGCTCTGAATTATGGATGAATGCTGCTTTATTTTAGTTTAATAAAGGTATCCTGCTTTTTCTCTCAGACTAGTATTAGACACAATAAAAAAGAAACATTCTTTCCAAGATTTATTATGCTATTTGAGTTCTCTTCTGTGATCAGTTTCAGATTCTTTTTCTGATTTTTTAGCTACAAATTAATGTAAAATCTTCATACATAAAAAAGAATTTGCAGTGACACTTCCACTTATTTCTGGAAGAGTTTAGGACTCCTATATTTTATGTACTTTTAATGAGACAGCGTATGAATTCTATAGTTTTAATTTCATTATGGTGTGACAGATTTTTTTTCAGGATGACTGGGGCTACATGAATAGCTGAACTTTCATTTTCATGACTGGACCTAAAAACACTATCATTTTTACTGAACTAGGTAATTTGTTTCAGCTCAAAAAAAAAAAAAAAGAAAGAAAACATAAAGTAACTCTATGTTGGCAGTCTGAGAAGTCCTTTGGAAGTGTAAACCTGAATTAAAGACCTGAATCCAGGAATATTTTAATACGTTGTAGGACTATTCCAACAGAAGAGTTTTTAGGGAGAACTTTCTAAAAATATACTTTCCCAAATATTTGGTTCACAGTCCTATCTCCATGCAAATAAAGAGAAGGAAAAAATCCTCCTTCCTTTGTCTCAACTCTGTGACAAATATTTGGACTATTGGACCCTAAAAATTTTTACTATCAAAAAAAAATGTACTTTCTCTTACTAGGAACAGTAGGACATTGTTATCTTAAAAGTGAGCTTAAGGTGTTGTTCTGCCATATAGACTCACCTTTACCACCATACAAGTATGTCTGTTGGAGGGGAGTGCAGAAATCTCATCTGGGCAATTAAATCACTATGCATTTTATCAGTAAAATTATGAATACAGATCTTAGCATTTTGTTGAAACATCAATAACCATTCAAGTAGCTCCTAATGTCCTTTCTTGGAAGTACCTTAAACTTTTATAAAAATCTCAGGTTAGCACAATGACTTACAGACTCTTTGAAGTAAAATGGATCTGAAAAGTTATGCTGCTTTGCCTTCAGTTCAGAATTCAGTATAGAGTCCATTCTCCTCCTTCCACAGAACTCCCATACTTTGTATATGGCTGGGGGAGAGACCAGGATATAATTTAAAACTCAGAACTGTCCCATGTGTTCATAAAATCCACTGTTGCTGCCACAGGATGGGAGGAAAAGAAATCTGGGAAGGATTTTTCTTTCAGTACCAGTGTTTCCAACAGCCACATGATCTTCCTGAGCAGTGGCTTAGCCAGAATTTGAATCTTAAAACTACTCCTGCATTAGGCCATAGGCAGTGCCAGAGCATTACATGAGCAAGGCATTTCAGCTCCATCATAATTTTACCCAGGGGACTGAACTCCAGAGGCACAGCAATACATGTGTGAAAACCTGCTAAATACAATATCTTCCTTAGATAAAACCACAGGCAGAGAAACATGAGGTAAGTTTACACTGCTACCCTGAACATAATAAGATTTTTGCTATGTTTTCTTCCAAATTTGCCTTGAAAGAATATTTTTGCTATGTTTTCTTCCAAATTTACCTTGAAATAAGAGCATTGAAAGTGAATAGTTATGCTAAATGTTGAGGAAATATTTAAGCAAAATGTTTTCATTCATCTAACTTCTGTGAATAATATTCTAGAAATGCCTCTGTCCCTCTGTTTAGTGTAAACACCTAATTTTAGCCTACCTTAGGTTTGTAACAGGGACGTTATTCAGAACAACTACATTAGATTACATGAATATTTCCCATGGGGTCAAAATCCAAAAGACAACTTTAAAAAATGTTGGTTGCTAAGATTGTATATTCAAATGAATTTTAATGAGGTGGAGTAAGGCAAATTATGTTTTGCAATGCAGTGTACAAACCTAAAATAAATCAGTGAATGAAAATATCCAAATGCAAACACAGTTTGATATAACTCAGAACATCCTAATTGCTCTTGGAAACAGGAGTCTCATAAAGTACATATAAACTGTGTCATCTTGACAAAGAGCACCCCTGCATCCTGGAGTTTTCTACTGAGTTTGTTTTAAGTTTATGCTAAAATAAAAAGGAACTATTTTCAAGGGCACGACAGACAGATGTCTAACTCCAGGCAAAGTCAACACCTGAGAGAATATATTACACTAAAATCTTGAGAAGATTTCCAAAGCCTCGAGAAAGAGATAGGAAGAATTCAACCACTGATAGCTAAGTGCAGTTTTGCAACCCATGTAAGACAACTCAAGATTGTTCTTCTGCCAAAAAGGCTATCCCTGAATTCTCACCACCTTATAACCATATATTGTATCTTTCTTGAACTGGAATGAAGAAAAGCATAGAGTTTTTACTTTTTTTTTTTTTTTTTTTTTTGTAGGATTATTTTTTCCTTTGTCTGAGATGAAGAAAAGAATGAGTACGTGGAGGAAGGTAGAGGCATTGTAACTTTAAATTACTCATAAAACTGAAGAGAGCAAACAGAAGGTGCAAATTGTAGTGACAGCTTACATTTAGAGATCAAAATTTGCATGGCTCTTTAGCCTAGTTCTCTCTTCAGATGTACTATTAAGTATATGTTAGATATACAAATCAGTTACTAAGCAAACATAGTATCTATTAGAGATACTTGAAGCTTTCTAGCTATTTTAAGACAATACAGACACAGCTATGTAAATACTTGGAATTTAATCCTTAGAAATCTATGTTCTCAACACTAATGTGCTAAAATGACATGTGCTAAAATTCAAAGCAAATGTGTTTTCCAAATCACTTAGACCCAAATCAATGGAGAAAAACAAAAAACCCACCCCAAAGCTGTCCAAAATTTTCCTTTTGATTTTTTTACTCTACTTTGCAAGGCATGAAAATACTCAGATGTACTACCTTATAAGACATCTCTCTCATAATAATACAAATTAATTTGAAAAGTATGTCCTCATTATTTTCAAAACAAGCATATTAATTTCCAGTTCAAAGTGTCCTATTTTTTTTCTTTCCATAATAATTTTAAAGGCATATTTCGAAGAAAAAAAAAAACCAAACTAAAGGAATATTTAAAAAATAATGTTTTTTTAACTCCAAACAACATTTTTGCTCCCCTAGACATCTCATTCAGAACTGCATGTTCACCAGACCAAAAGAACAACCTCTTTTCCCACAAAACTTCAGCCTAAGGATATTTGCATAGAATACAGTATTTCAAACAGTGAACCACAGTTCAGACAGTTCAGTGACAGACTAAGAAAATTAAGACTGTTCAGCCTGGAGAACAGAAGGTTGCATGGAGAACTCATAGCAACTCCAAGTATCTGAAGTGGAAGCCAAAAAAAGACTCTTCTCAGGAACTGTAGTGATAGGACAAAGAGTAATGGGTACAAACTGAATGAGGGAAAATTTAGGTATTTAAGAATATTTCACAGAAATTTAAATGAATAATTTAGCTATTAGGAAGAAATTCTTTATTGAGAGGGTCTTGAGGCACCAGAAAAGTTTGCCCAGAGAGGTTGTGAATGCTCCAACCCTGGCAGTGTTCAAAGCCAGGCTGGATAAGACATGAACAGCCTGGTCTAATGGGAGGCGTCCCTGCCCACCATGGTGGGGGGGCATTGGGACTAGATGATTTTTAAGGTGCCTTATCATTCTATGAATCTACAATTCTATGATTCTAAAAAGGCAAGCAAATTTTATGGAGTTTTCTTAATAAAAATAAATGGTCACAAGTCTTCCTTCCCTGAAGAAAGTGTGCATGTTTAAAGTGACTGCTGTTTCAAGTGCATCTGTTCTGCCTAATTTTAATCCTAAAACTCTACTTTACATACTTTACATCAGGCTCAGTTAAAGATAACTTTCTTACCATTTGCTAGACAGCCTAGGAAATTTTTATTAATAATGACTAGGAATTAAATTTTAATGCTAAAACCACTTCAGTGTATAAATATAGTGTATTCACTGCTAACAAAACTGCAATGTAGCTCTTATAAGAAAGTAAAAAAAGAAGAAGAAAGTAAAAAAAGGCTTGTTTCTAATTTATTGTGGTGTAACAGATCTCGAGTGATATCTGTTCTCTTTCCAGAAAGGCAGATGTTGGATTACAGCAATGGAGCAGAATCAACCCAATCTTATGCTCCTTAAAAAATGAGTATAATAAGGATCTCTGGGAATACAGTTTTTGTGATTCACTCCCAGAAGGGACACTGCTGGAGATTACACAAGGTGAGGTTCAGCAGCATCCACTGTGCATACACCAATATTTGCAGGGGGGAATCCAGCCCAGAGTCTGCTAAAAACCACTACTGTGTTTTTTCTTGGCCAGAGGAAACCACAAAATACCCACACTCACATATGGATTCATTTCCAGACTACAGAAGTTTAAATAACTTCTAAAAAATACTCTGAAGGAAAACAAGTGAACTTCTAATGATAAACAACTTCTGTGATACTCTCTATATTTATACTCCCCAGTTCCATGCAGAGCTAACAACAAAGGGCTTGAACAGTCTGCAGTGTTACACGGTCTATCACCCTGCAAAGGTCACAGTGGAAACCCAGCTCTGCTCTGTGCCTCCACCAACAACTTAGCAAGGTTTTGGCTGGCCTCCCTCCCTCTGCCCTTAGTCACCTTGCAGTTGGGGGATGCATGATCTGGATGGTGAGAGAGAGAGCTCATGCTAAGAATCCTCCTTATCTTTCTCTTATGCCTAATTTCAGGCACTTTGGAGACACATCAACTCAGCAGCCGCACGGTGGATGCTTTAGCTCAAGGCTGCTGTCTGCTCTCTTTTGGTGCACCACTGTGGTTGGAGAGACTGAGTAGATAAGTATATGTTGATAAATTAAATGTTACCAACACCTCTCCTTACTTACTTACTTCTTACTGGACTCTTTTTCCAATATTAACAAAGTTAACAAAGTTAAGCAAAACAAAACAAAAAAAAGAAATCAAACAAGAACAACAAAGGAGATTTGAAGTAATTCCATGTCCTGAGTAGACTATTTTAGAAAAAATATTATATATATATATATATATATATAAAAATTCATTTAAGATAACGAGAGATATCCTGAACCCTTTCTTACTTTTCTGCAAGGTTTTTAGGTCCACTATCATTGTGACTGCATATGCAGACATCCAATACCTTCTTACTAGCCTATTCTTCTTTCTACCTAGTACCTGCCAGTTTGCTGTCTGCTATGCCTTCCTCTGGATTGCTTGTAAAGAGACTCTCACCATCAGCAGCAGGCTGAGGGTGCTGCCAAACACAGGTACACATGTGCACATAGACACAGAAAGAGAACAAATTTTTCTGCAGTTCTCCTTCACTTACTGGCTTTAGACCTTGCACAGCACTATAGTATAGTAGCCCTTGAATCTTCACATTCAATTTTGATGGTTTAAAGTCTTTTGGTGACGCAGTCTCTTTCCTCTCAGGAATGGAAAACTTTAGTGACTGTTCATTGGAAAAATAAAAGATGTTAAAGCACAAATGGGCAATTTAATCTGACTGGGAGTGAAAACAAACTCTGCCTAGAAATGGAAATTAAAATTATACCAGTTGTATGTATTGCAGATTCTCCAGTGATCTTCGAACTACTACTCTTTGCAGCAGGAAACTTTGGATTTACATTTGGCTTTTGCAGTTCAACAAAAGTCTTAAAAAAAAAAAAAAGTTAATAAAACCAGGCCAAAGTCTGAAAAATAATATCCCTGTCCTGCAAGAAAAAGAACCATCCCCAGCCCTCACAATCCAACATGAACTTCACCTGTATGAATTGCATTAGGTGTTTGATTCTTTACTTTTTCTTGGAATGGTCATATTCCTTAGAAGACGACTACATCCTTTGTTGCTGTTGTGATTTTCTAGCACAGTATGACCACAGCCTTTCTGGAGAGAAACTTAAGGATGCACGCTTCTGTCAGGGTGCAGAGCAACCTCTGATGTTCATACTTTAGCTGTTTAGCATGATGGACAAGGGCTCAAGGTCAAAAATACTCCTAGCTTGCTGTCCCTCCTCAGTAAGAAACTGGATTTGTAAAGTGCTTATCCTGAGATAGACAGGATTTTTTGAACCTGCCAGTCCTGTTTGGGTATGTAAGGTAATTACACATAACCATGTACAGGTATGACTGTTTTATGATTTCCTGTGTGAAAATATTTTAACATCTTTCTGGCTGTGCAATAATGTCAAGATTTTAGTTTGCTAAAGCAACCAAAGAGCAACCTTGCAGAGAATCAGATCCCACTGCTGAGCCATGATCCAACTTGGGTTTCTAAAGATGGATGACATGAACAGTGATGTTCACTGTCCTTACAGAACTTCACTCAGGCTACTTTGGGGTCTTGTTATCCAATCAGACCGGCCTATTTTTTCCACTTATTGAGCAGTGCCTGACTTTTCACTGTGTCTGAAATCTACTGGAGAGGCACGAAGATTTAATTGGTAGCTTTGCAAAGTTTCCCTGAAGTCAAAGGGACAAGACGCTCTGATTAGCTCTAGATGTCAGAAATAAAAAACAAAAAATACATACCCATAGTCCTTTAAAAACTGAAGATTCAAAGTCCAGTTTTCATTTTGAAGGGGTTTGGATTTAGGGCACTAAAAACCCAAGTGGTTCTCAAACCACTATGTGTGCAAAATTAAATAACTGGTTTCTGACAAATTTTAATTTGAATCCTTTTTATTGTTCAGCAGAACCTAGTAACTGCTGATGCATAAGAATTTTGTTTTTTATCTTAGTTTCACTGCAATTTTTACATTATACTGTGTTGTCTGTAGTTTAAAAACCTTGATCATAACTATAAATACAGGAATCTTCAGGAATACCTTTCTGAAGAAGTACAAGTACAAGAATATAAGGGCCTAAAAAGAAAATCATTTACTAGGTTTATATCTCATAGGCCTCTCAATATGATCTCTAAAATCTGAAATAACTTCATATAAATTTGTCTGCAGAACATCGAAGCAGAAGCACAACTGTTTGCAAAAGTTGAGAAAAAGCATTTAAGTCTACTTGGCATCATTTCAGTTCTTTACAAATCTATTACACAAAAAAATCTTAGCTCCAGGGAGCTACACTATTGTAGCTGAACTGGAAGGTCTGACCCAGATATAGATTGTACCTATTATGTAGAGACCATCAATTGACAAACATTTGAAAGTGTTCAGAGTACTAACACGAATAATATATAAAAGAAATCCATTGGCACAAAAGCATATCATGAAACACCTGAGATACAACAAAGAAGATAGTGCTTGTTCATTGTGAACAGACATTTTCAAGTGGTTTACAGTTTTTACTTTGTTTTATAACAAGTTCAGTAGAATTTTAAAAACCTCAAAAACCACCTGGCTTTCAGAAAAAAAAAACTTTTAAAGAAAATGTAAAGAGTTATGCAATGATTCTGGGCATGTGTTCTGGGAATTTGAGTACCCACAGCACTCACCAGAATTTGGGGGAGAGGAACAGGGTTTCTTTATTCTTTTTAAGTTGTAAGTGATTCAGCTTGAGTGGGTTTCAGACAATCATGGCCAGTGAAAACCAGATCCACAGGAAAATTGGACAGAGTGTGAAAGAGACCTTGAAGTCGTGGGCTAAGGAGGAAGAACCAATGTTTTCTTCTTTGACAATCAGATTTGGAAAATTAAGTTCAACCTGCAAGTGAAGTTGATTAAATTTTTTTTTTTACATGTGTAAACATGAAGTTCACATCATTATCAGAATACGCATGCCCTGAACCCCATGCCAAAATAAACCAGGTGATCTGCTTCATACATGGACCTATTGTTAGTGCTGCAGCCCCTGTGCCTACTTTGAACTTTATGCATCAGCCAGGGTCATGCTAAAATGAAACATTATTCTTCATTTTATTCAATTCAATTCTTCAATTAATTTCTTTCATGGAGCTCAATGAATCAGAAACTTTTTCCCACTGATATCTGTAATACTGTGATTAACATCTAAAACACCCAAGATTTTTTGTGGTGTATAACGCAACTCAAAGTAAAACTACCCCTTTTTGATGATACTAGAGCCATTCTTAAAAATAATAGATGAAAATTAAATTTCAGGAACAAAATACCTCTGAATTTTCCCCTGTGTAGCATCCGTGGCTGCAGTCTAGAGCAGAACAAGAGCTGTGTGCTTTCTGTGTGAGTACAATATCAAGCACTACAAATGTTCAGCTTAGAACTGTCAAGCCACACATAAAATATTGATACCTCACATTGGCAGGGTTAATACAGTGTTATTTTAATTGCAAACACACTGTGGGTGATTAGTCAAACTTAGTGTGTCTTGAATTCTAAGATAAAAATGCCTTCTGGCTGGACCTCCTATGCAATTAGCACTATGACCCTCATGTGCTTTTCTCAGTTATTAATATGATTGGTCTAATATGAGTATTAGACATCATTCATTAACCTGTTGTGAACCATCTAAAAAACCATCTCTGAATAATAGACTACATTCCTTTTTCTAAATCCATTTACAAGTAAGGAAAGTGAAAAGGATGAAGACGAGCTTTCGCCATTACATTGACTGGTACAGTGTAAAGCAATATGTACTGTATGAAATAATGAAAGAGCGAATTAAATAACAGGGCATATCTGGCTTATTAGTAATGGATGATCAGGTGCTCATTCAGTTGAATTTCCAGCCTGTTCAGAAGATGAATGCACATGCCAGAACAGAAATATTTTAACTGACCCTGTCTGAAGATAAACTAAATCACTGTTTTGCCAGCTTACTTTATGTTGGATTTCTTTATTTATTTTCTTTTCTTCTATTTTTATTATTTCCTTTCCTTTCCTTTCCTTTCCTTTCCTTTCCTTTCCTTTCCTTTCCTTTCCTTTCCTTTCCTTTCCTTTCCTTTCCTTTCCTTTTCCTTTCCTTTTCCTTTCCTTTTCCTTTCCTTTTCCTTTCCTTTTCCTTTCCTTTTCCTTTCCTTTTCCTTTCCTTTTCCTTTCCTTTTCCTTTCCTTTTCCTTTCCTTTTCCTTTCCTTTTCCTTTCCTTTTCCTTTCCTTTTCCTTTCCTTTTCCTTTCCTTTTCCTTGCCTCACTATTTGTTAAAAAATAACAAATATTTATTTAACAGTAAATAAAAGGAAAAGAAAGGAAAGTGTTTTGGAACTTAAATGCTCTCTTCTGTTTGGACAGCTATTCAGTTAAGAGAAATCAAGTACTCCACTGTCTTCAATGCAATTGTATATTTTACATTAGCTGAGGAAAAAAACCCAGTAAAAGAACATTATCTACAGTAAGCAAGATTGGACTGTTAACAGGAAATGATTATATATTAGAAAGATTTCCTGGATCACTATTTTACCTAATAGCACTCTGAACTGAGTATTACTGTTTCGCTCCCACGTGAAAGCTTGGCCACTTCCCATTTTTTCACCCATCTCATATAGTTGGTCCTGTCAGTGTTCCTGACTTTGTGTGAGGCGCCCCTTCTCTGGTCTGCAGAAAAGGTCACACCTGTGGCAAGATATCTGCCTAAGAAGGGTGTTGAGATTTACTTTATCTGATGGGTAAGGCAAACCCCACCAGAGAGGAAAAGATTTAAAACATTGCAAGAAGCAGAGGGTAAGATGAAGGTTCTTGCCTGGTCTCTGCACTTCACTAGGAAGCACACCTGGTTTTGTAAAACTCCATGCGCTCCCTTGATGGGAAGGGGTCAGCTCTGCTCTCTCTGCTGGTGTGGTCACTACTAGGGCCTGGGACCTGGGACTGCCCGGCAAATATGTGAGGTGTAGGAATGACAGAAGCAGAAAGATTCTCTTAGATGTCCAGCTCATAATGCCTGAGACTTGGCAGGATGAACAAGTGAAATAATCTTCCTTTAAAGAAGTCAGTGTTCATGTTTCATAACCTTTATTTTTTTTGGAGTAGGATTCTGTGGATGAGTCCCCACTAA